ATGAGAAACTACTTTGTTCTGTAAGCTTTCATCTAAAGTGAGAATAGCAGCACAATTGGAAGAGCATAGTCAATGTCACTGAACTGTGCATGTAGACATTTTGAAATGGAGCATCTTTGGCTATATATATTTTCACCAAAAAAAGAAAGAAAAGGTAGAGAAGGGAGAGGGTGGACATGTTGTGAGGTTGTTAACCAATGTCATAAAACATTATGTGTACTACTGTTTCATGAGAAACTATTCGTTCCGTAAGCCTTCACCTGAAGTACAATAAAAAAGAAAAAAAAATGTACGCAGGAAACATGACTAAACAGAAACATACAAATTAAAGAAAAATTGATTTATCATTAAGCCTGAAGAGAAAAGTTAAAAACAGTTCCCACTGAAATCACCATGTTTACAATGCAATAAAATGTAAGCATGTTGAGAATTTAGTATATCTAACTTAGTGAATAAGAAGCCCTGATGGCACAATGGTGAAACACTCGGCTGCTAAATGAAAGTTGGCCTTTGGAACTCAAGATCTGGCAATCTGCTCCCATAAATACTGTTGCTGTTAGGTGCCATCGAGTAGGTTCTGATTCACAGTGACCATCTGTACAACAGAATGAAAAACTGCCAGGTCCTGTGCCATCCTCACAACTATCATTCTATTTTGAACCCATTGTTGCAGCCACTGTGTCAATCCATCTCGTTGAGGGTCTTCCCCTTTTTTGCTGATCCTCTACCAAGCATGATGTCCTTTTGCAGGGATTGGTCCCTCCTGATAACATGTCCAAAGCACCTGTCCATAAAGATTACAGCCTAGAAAACCCTATAGGGCAGTTCTACTCTGTCACTTGGTGTCATTATCAGTCACAATCAACTTGAGAGCGGCTAACAACAACAAAGTAGTGAATATAAACTGAACCTTTATCAAAGACATTTGGATACACTGAGTGAACATTCATCAAATATGACCCTGTAGTGAGTCTTAAAGAAAATGTCAGCTAATTGCAAATAAGACAATATCTTACTGTAGTTAACAATTTTCGTATTATTGGATATTTTATTGTTTTTAATTAGAAATAAAGCTGTGAAATAATCTTGAAAAAAGAAAAGCAAAATATTAGGTAGGCCACAGTTCTTGCACAGTGAAATTAAAATGAAAGTAAAAAAAAATCAGATGGTGCAAACATCAAAAAGCAAAAGATATTTTATATGCTTAGAATGTGATTACAAGAAAAAAAAATTTTATAATCTACTTGACAATTGGTAAACGACCAAGTTAAAGTCATTGTCATCATGAAAAATCAAAGTACTCAAAACCAGAGAATGTGGTCAAAGCAATGATCTTGAAATAAATGTATCTTTAAAAACATAACATTAAAAAATGAAAAAAAAAACATCGTCCTGGAGTGGATTCTGACTCATGGCAACCACACGTATTACGCAGCAGAACTGCTGCATAGGGTATTCGTGGCTGTAATGTTTACAAAAGCACTGTCATCTCCCGCAGAGCCACTTCCTGGATTGAAACTGCCAACGTTTTTTTTTCAGGTTGGTACACCAGCTTAAATCTTTTGCGCCACACAGGGACCTTCAAAAAAATGGGGGGAAAGGGACATTGAAAAGTAGTAAACCGATTGTTCAAATCTGTAAAACCAAGTAGGGAAATATGAGACCCAAATTTCATACTAAAAATTAAGTAAATATCAATACAATTTTTGTAAAAAATGATAAGCTTCAAGAATAAAAGGAAGAAACAGATTATTTGAATGAAAATGACAAAATGAACAAAACTTCCTGACTCGCATCATGGGGCATGGGGGGCCGCCCTGAGAGCCCAAGGAAACAGGCTGGGGGAGAAGGTGACAAGCCCCGCGGGGCCTTTCCAGGGAGGGGTCGGTGAAGGCCTCAGACAGGAAAGGGGACAGGCGGGGCCACCAGCTGGAGGCGGAAAGGCGTGGCGGACCGGCTCACAGCTGTTTTAACCGGAAACAGAGGCGGATCCAGGGCAGCAACAGGGCGTGTGCGGGGACTTCAACATCCTCAGGGACCCGGAGACTCCAAGCGGGGAGGACACAGGGCTGGAGAGGACGTGAATCCCGGGGCGTGAATTAGAAAAAAGACATTCACACAACCTTGCGGGATCTTTGCTCTTGGGCAGAAAACGGAGCTGCCTGCGAGGCTGTGCAGGGGGCATGGCCTGGAATGGCAAGGGGCGGTGCGGGGTGTGCAGGGGGCGGGGCCAGGGATGGCAAGGGGCGGGGCGGGCTGTGCAGGGGGCGGGGCCTGGTGTAACACTATCCGGGTGTTCCTGCCCCCTGCTACCCCTAAGTCAACTGAGAGACACCAGGCCTTTGAGAAAGAGAAAGCAGACTTTATGGCAAGCTGGTCAAGCAAGGAGCTGAGAGACTAAGTCTCAGATCAAGGTCCCTGAGGCTGGGGATTCCAGGATAGTTGTAAGGTTGGGGATAGGGAATTTATCTGTAATTCAAGAAGCTTCTGAGAATAGGCGGGCATTTCCAGCAACTAACGTGTGAGGGTGCAGTGCCACGGCGGCTGAGGGGGGGTGTTTTTTGGGGTGTGATGCATGAAGTTCATCTAAGCACAGCCTTGCTGCTTATTGCACATGTCCGAATAGACGGGGAGTAGTGAGGTGGCCTTGGGCCGCCACATAGGATGCCTTATAAGGAACTAGCTGACCACAGACCAGGGGTGTGATGGATGGCGAAGCCAAGATGGCGGCTAAGTAACGCACACCATAACCTCCCTCTGCACCAAAGACCCAAAACACTAACTGAAACAGAAGCAGATAGATAACAATCCAGGAACCCGGAACATAAAAAAGAAAGTCTAAGAACTGAATCAAACACCGATTAGAAGGAATAAGGAAGTCAGCGAAAGAGAAGTTATCACCAAATGGAGGAGCTCAGTCAGCGGTCCTGGCTGCTGCAGCTAACTTAGGACAAACCCAGCAGCAACCTTGGGTGAAGAAAACAGCAAGGCAACTTCATGATCTTCCCAAAAGGGACAGAGAACCTCTACAGACACACAAGAAAAGGCAGAGACAAGGAGGGTACCAGATCCAGAACCGTAGATACTCAGGAGCCGCGGCCCTGGATCTCAGAGGTGAGTGGCTTGCACAAGGCGGTGGACCCGTGGAGTGTCGACGGGACCTCTCCCACCCAACCCTGGGCAGCACCCCCTCCTCGCACTCCAGAGAGGAACAGGTCCTGCTCGTTGGCTGCAGGGGACGTGAGGTGCCCTGGCACCACGTATTCTAGCCCTTAACACATCCTCCTGATCAGAGGCTGCAGACGGTCCCATAGGCTACCTTGCCTGACTGGGAGACCATAAGGTGAGTCTATTCTTTTCACCCTTCCCCACCAAACCCCGCCCACTACTCCCTCTTGTCTACCCGATGAGTGAGACTAGGAATGCCCCCCTGCCTGTGCCCACCTGCCACCTACCCACCCCAAGGGCCCAGTGGAGGGCAGCAGCAGTGGGACAGCAAGAGAGCTCGCCTACTGCTGCCTCCTCCTTCCTCGCATCCAGCTCCAGGCAGCACCTCCAGAGGCATCCACCAGGCAGGTCTCCATCCTTTAACCCACCCAGCAAGGGGTAGATGAGCCCAGACTGTGCATGCATCCCTGGTAGCCCCTTCCATCCCCCAACCCCCACCTTACATGAAGTGGCATCAGTGTGCTGGCATCCACCAGATGCCACTTCCTCCTTTAACCTGCCCAGCGAGGGGCAGGGGAGAAGGGGAGACATGACTGTGCATGCATTCCCCAGCAGCCCCTTCCTCCCTCCCTCACCTGGCTGGAGGCTGCATCACTGTGCATGTATCTGCCAGGCAAGACTCCATTCCTTAATCAGCCCAGCAAGGGACAGAGGAGCTGTTACTACGTCTGCATCCCCCCATTCATATGTGGAAATCTGATTTTCCACAAGGGGTCAAAATTGATTCAATGGGAAAGAGTCTCTTTAATAAACAGTGCTGGAAAAACTGGATATCCACTTGCAGAAAAATGAAACAGAACCACACCTCATACCATACACAAAAAGTAACCCAAAATGGATCAAAGTCCTAAATGTTAAAGCTAGAAAGTTCCTGAAAGAAAACATAGGGAGAAACTATGGGACCTGATTTTGTTTTAAATAGGCTAACAAACAAAACTACGATTGCACAAATAGCAGAAGACAAAATAGATAGTTGGGACCCCTTAAAAATTAAGTAGTTATGCTCATCAAAAGACTATTAAAAGAGTAAAAAGACAACCTATAGACTGGGAAAAAAAATCTTTGGAAATGACATATCTGATAAGGGTCTAATCTCTAAAATATGTAGAAAACTTCAACTCAGCAACAAAGAGACAAAAACTCAATTTAAACTTGGGCAGAAGACATAAACAGACTTTTCACCAAAGAGGACATTCAAGCGGCCAAGAAACACAGAAAAAGAAGCTAAAGGTCATTAGCCATTAAAAACCAAACCAAATCAAACCCGTTGCCTTCGAGTCGATTTTGACTCATAGCGACCCTATAGGGCAGAGAACTGCGCCATAGGGTTTCGAAGGAGGGGGTGGTGGATTCTAACTGCTGACCTCTTGGTTAGCAACCCAGCTCTTAACCACTGTGCCACCAGGGCTCCCACTAGACATTAGAGA